TCTAGAATTTTCTGGAAATTACAATATGCCTTTACAAATTTGACGGTACAATTTTATAGAGCACATTCAGAATTCGAGTCGCACTACCAAGTCGCGACACCCTGAATTCCCTATTGGTAACCCTTCCCTTGTAAATGAACCTTGTCGTGAAATTCAGGGGATTATTGCGGTACGGGATTGGTCGGCGAGTTTGGTTACGGGGCTGTAATTTCGTCGGCGTGGTTGGCGAAGTCGGCGAGGCGTCAGAACTTGGGTGTTCTGCATTTCATAATTTTCGCGCGAGGGTATGACTTGGGCTACGCGTCAGGACCTGGTCGCCCATGTCAGAGGTCCACTGGTGATCCCCGATTGATCCTAGGGAAGGGTTACAGGCTCGTTGTCCTGGGGGGTTATGGGCGCACTAACCCGCTACTTAAACAAGCCCTTTTATCCCAATGGTCTAGTGGTTGGGATTCTGACATGGTATCAGAGCGAAGGTCTCGGATTCGAATCCCGGTGTGTGCACTTCGGGCATCCCAGTGCGGGGGGGTGTCAGAGGTCCACTGGTGATCCCCGATTGATCCTAGGGAAGGGTTACAGGCACTTTGGTCTGGGGGGTTATGGGCGCACTTTCCCGCTACACAAACAAGCCCTTTTATCCCAGTGGTCTAGTGGTTGGGATCCTGACAGCCCAGCTGCATGTTGAGGCACTTGACTAATCGGAGGTTTGGGTGAGGTGGCGATTGACTTCTGCCCACCTGCACTGTACTTGGCAGCATTCGGCTACCACACTGTTACAAGGCAAGTCGCGTGGGTGCGGGATGGGGCAAACAGCAGCACCGCGCCATGAAGAAGTTAATCGCCAGCAGCAGCTAAGTCGCGCAAGAGAGCCAGCTGCTGCTCTCTCAATTTAAGCATTTCAGTCGCGCCCTGGCATCTAAGCTGCTACAGAAGAAATCCGGACTGCTGATAGAAAGCATGGCAGCAGCTGCTAACTACTCATCTACAGCTGCTGCTGGTCGACAAGCATTCCGCCATGATGAGTCAACATTTCGCCATGTCTACAGATGCAGCAGCCATGATCGAGTCGCGGCTAAACTAGATTGTGAAGAGCATAAGGCGAAACTCTGCATAGGCTCTCACGGGACTCCTCTAAGGAGAAACGGGTTGTGAAGACGAGAAGAGCAGCGAGGGAAAAACAACCTCGACTGTGACTTGGGTTGAGATTGCCAAGAAACCCTAGGTACACTAACGAGATCTGGAGGAGGCACGCGGAAGTGATAGGATGCGCGGAGCAGGGGGCAGAAACTAGAGGAACAGAACTCGACACGAGAGGTGCGAGACGTGCAGCCGAAGATTTCGCACGTGCGGTAACCTACAACTTGAACAGTAACTGCAAGAGGGATTCTCCGCCGATGCATTTTAGGAGGAGCTACAAGCCTCCGTGACTCACGCCATTACACTTCCGCAATCAACGGATACAACGCATCAGTTCAACCACCAGGGTAAGTGTGTTTGTGGTAAGCCACCTTATCCCTCCATCCTCCACAAGAATGAACCTCACTAAAACCTACAGCAAGGGGGGGTGTTGGAAATATAAAGCATAAGAAAATGTATATGCTGTTAGTGTCAGAATATTATGTTTCTCTAGTCTGCAGTGGGGTACTCTATAGTGAGTACAGCCCTTTTAGGGTTTGCTATATGTATCCCAATGTTTGCTAGTGAACCTCCTCTCTTCTTCATTCCTCATTCTTTACAGTTAGGTTTTAGTGTAATCCTCTAAATAAGCCTCTAGGCCCTACAATAATTGTACCATTATTGTAGGGGCTGCATTATTGGAGTCTAGAGGTCGTCAGAATATGTTCTTTATCTAGCCTGCAGTGGGGTACTCAATAGTGAGTACAACCCTTTAGGGCTTCCTATTTGTACCAACTTGCCTGCTAGTGCAATCATTCCATTTTCTGTTTCTATCATTCTCGATCCTGCTTGGCACAACCTTCTAGTCTCACTGTGGCCTAGGCTACTAAGCCTAGGCCCTACTCCTAGTGTTTTTGATATGGTATCTAGAGCAAGCACGTTCGTGCTGCCTCCCTTAATGGGCCCACCAACTGCTTCCGCTGTCGTTCTGTCTATCGCGCGCCCCGTGGTGCGTGACGTGTTATTTTCTTTCCACCACGCGCTCCTAGCGCGTGGCGGCTTTTTCTGCCCGCCGCGCGCTCGGGGCGCGTGGCGGTTTCATCGTCCGTCGAGGCGCCTACATGGGGCCCGTGCGCTGCCCCCCATCGCTCGTCGCGGCGCCCTCAGGGGGCACGCGCGCGGCCCCCCATCGCCCGTCGAGGCGTCTTCAGGGGGCCCGCCCGCCGCCCCCCCCCCCCCCCCCCCGTCGCCCGTCGCGGTGCCTTTAGGGGGCCCGCGCGCTGCCCCCGTCGCTCGTCACGGCGCCCTCAGGGGGCATGCGCGCGCCCCCCCCCCCCCCCCCCCCCATCGCCCGTCGTAGCGCCCTTGGGGAGCCTGTCCGCTGCACCCCCGTCGTCGACCCTACAGCCGCCCCTGGCCCCTGGAGCAGCCGCCCCTGCAGCAGTCGCCCCTGGCCCCTGGAGCAGCTGCCACTGCAGCAGCCGCCCCTGGCCCCTGGAGCAGCCGCCCCTGCAGCAGCCGCCCTTGGCCCCTGCAGCAGTTACTCCAGTAGTCCGCGGCGCCAGTTACACCAGTAGTCCGCGGCGCTGTCCCGGTAGCCACTGTGCCAGCCGCTCCTGTCGCCCGTGTGTTTGCAGCTTTAGCCGCCGCCTCCCATCTCCTCTCCTCTCATAGTCCCTCCTCCTCCTCACTTGCCTTCTGTGACTGCCTCTAGCTCTGGTTGTGCTTGTGACTTATTCTATGACTTCTTGCTATGCTGATTATACCCAACTTTGACTATGGGGGTGTGTCAGAATATGTTCTTTGTCTAGCCTGCAGTGGGGTACTCAATAGTGAGTACAACCCTTTAGAGTTTCCTATTTGTACCAACCCGCCTGCTAGTGCAATCATTCCACTTTCTGTTTCTATCATTCTCGATCCTGCTTGGCACAACCTTCTAGTCTCACTGTGGCCTAGGCTACTAAGTCTAGGCCCTACTCCTAGTGTTTCTGATAGAGGTTTGGGGGTAGAATTATTGGTACTCCTTTATTGGAGGTACCATTATTGGTGTGGATGGGTGGACTGAGAACAGGGTAACTGTATAGATAAATGCTCTGCTGTATAAGGCCATAATATATTCTATTGTTCTAAATCCATTCAGTTGCAAGGTTCTCTTGCTATTCTATTCTACAACCAAGACTTCCGCTACGCCGACACCATGCCTTTCTAGCAAAAAACAGGCCGAAAATTCAGCCAAGGTTTAGAAAAAAACACTGAAAAATCAGCCAAGGTACATAACAAAAATCTCTGGATTCAGCCTAACCCTTAAAAAAATGCCTGATCTAACGCTGAATCAGCGTAAAAAGGCTGATATCTAGGGCACTGGTTGGAAGTGGACAAGTGCATTTGCAGCATTGTGGTCATCTCGGAGGGCGGGATCCAACGCGCCCTAGTGTCTCTCGTTTGGAGTAGGGCTTGCCCTGCTCCTCACACACGGTTACGACTGTTGTTGGTGTTGCGCGCTTGCTCTTCGGTGTACTTAACCAATTATCATAAAAAATAGTTTCCGTGATGTTTCCTGGGAAGCAATGTAAAGTTGAATTTTGTAACTTTCACTTGTTCATTTGAGCAACATGTGTGTCGTTTGTTCAACCCCTGTGGTGGTGACCTGTCACTGCCTCCTCGATCCTTCCAGTCCACACGATTCGAGATGCATGTCACAGCAAAAACTGTTCCGCGTCGCGGTGGGACACATCGAGCATCTCTGAGTTTCACCCCCAAAATACGTGTAGGCGCAGACAGACATTTGTGGCTCTCATTCGCGCTTCGATCCGCGCCTCAAACTCTGTCCAGAGAGAGAGTGCAGCCCCCAGCCAGATACAAGGCTGACAATTTCGTTCGTCCCACTCCAGCTCTCCCTCCCTCACAATCGACTCATGATGGTTCTTATATCCACATCTTGGAGATGCTTAGGGTTCATTCTTGGCTCGTGTCTGACATGAGGTCAGACACGAAGTGAAGTTGAGGAAACCCGAAGTGAGCTGGAACTCTAGCAAACCAATGTTCGGAAGACCCGAAGTGGGCCGCTTCGGGTCTTCCGAACCTCCATCCAAAAATCTACTTCGTGTCTGACACGAGGTAGGAATGCACCCTTAGGCTGCTATCTTTAGCTAAGTACTGTCATGGAAAGTCTGCAAATGAATGGATTTTTTTTTTTAAATAAACCAGTCAGGATGTTTTGTACGAATACAATCAGTTATATAGATTTAAGGCCCGCATTATGCTAAGCACCATCTCTCTATTGAGCTAGATTGTAGATGTGAATCTGAATGGGCAGCCGATTCCACATTACTTATAGAGTATGAAAGCATGGCCTGAACGCGCCCTTGACGATCATTTCCCCGTTTCCTCCCCTTCAACCCCCACAGCTCATTCAACCTAGATTCTGTGGTGTTCTGTCATTCCTGTGGTGGATTGGATGGCCTATCCGAATCGAAGCCCTTCTGAGCTGTACAGTACAAGTGACCGTCGTGTCAGGGGAAGCACTGGATCCGTACTTGGAGCCTCGCAGTGCCGCATGCCCCATACAGTGCGCTGCTGCTTGTGCTTGTCGGTTCGACTTCCCAGCTTGCATTTTCACTCCCATGCACTGCTCGCCCTCGCTCCAGCTCAGTGCACCCGCGGCCTGTTGGAGGCTTGCTCGTCGTGCAACAGCCTTGCTGCCTGCCGACCATGCCTTCATCTGTAGAATGACGCACCGCGCTCACAAGCCGCAGCGATAGACCGCCATCAGCAGCTGTCGTTCTTTCGCGCAGCGCGCTATTGACAGGCAGGCCAGTGGCGATCGCACCTCGTGGTCGCGGGGCCGCGATCACCGCGCACCCACCTGTTGAAAGCCGCGCAGAATGACTCATTTGCGGAGACAGCGCTCGCTTCCGTCATTCGCGGGGCCGCGCATTGCCTTGCTCATAGTAGCCGTAGCGCACGTCGTCGCGGCGGGTCCACTTGCGACGCTCCGTCGCGTGGAAATCGTCTCAGGCGATACAGCCGCTGTGGCTGTAGCCAGCCATCGCCGGAGTGCGCTAAACACAGCAGTCGTCACGTTGTCGCCGCCGCCACCCGTAGCGCCTTCGACTTCTGGTAAACCCTTGGCGCCGCCGGCCGCACCGCAACCTCCCGGCTCCAGCGGGAACGCGTCGGCAAGCGAGTACGGCCCGGAGTTCCCGCCGACGTACGACCAACGTGAGTTGCGACGCTTCCTTCTCCGTTATGATCTTGTCGCTATTGCGTGTCGCACCCACAGTGTGTCAACTGCGACGCACACATCCTGATCCCGTTACAGTTTCGCTCAGCTGAAACCAGTCCGTCGGATGGAGAGCCACAATCAATCTCCAACCGCCCGAATCGGCAAACAGTAAAAAACCAGCGGAATCTTACGAAAGTTGCTCTTGTCTGTGCGCGTGCCTATGCGCGTGCGCGAGTGCGTGCGCGGGGGAATGGCAGGGCTGGCGTTGGCGGAGCTGCGGGTGGCGATGGACCCGGAGGGCTTGGAGCTGGAGTCGTGGGACTCGGACGTCGGCTGGCCCTTCTGGATGGGCGTCCAATGCGACCAGTGGAACCAAGTCATCAAACTGTACGTGAGCCAAGTCGTCAAACTGTACGACAGCCAAGTCGTCAAACTGTACGTCAGCCAAGTCGTCAAACTGTACGTCAGCCAAGTCGTCAAACTGTACGTCAGCCAAGTCGTCAAACTGTACGTCAGCCAAGTCGTCAAACTGTACGTCAGCCAAGTCGTCAAACTGTACGTCAGCCAAGTCGTCAAACTGTACGTCAGCCAAGTCGTCAAACTGTACGTCAGCCAAGTCGTCAAACTGTACGTCAGCCAAGTCGTCAAACTGTACGTCAGCCAAGTCGTCAAACTGTACGTCAGCCAAGTCGTCAAACTGTACGTCAGCCAAGTCGTCAAACTGTACGTCAGCCAAGTCGTCAAACTGTACGTCAGCCAAGTCGTCAAACTGTACGTCAGCCAAGTCGTCAAACTGTACGTCAGCCAAGTCGTCAAACTGTACGTCAGCCAAGTCGTCAAACTGTACGTCAGCCAAGTCGAGCACTTTCGGCATCGTTCTTGAGTTCTCGGATGGCCGTGCAGTGCCACCACCCGAGCGAGTTGTCCAACTGTACGAACAAATCGTCCAACTGTACGAACGAATCGTCCAACTGTACGAACGAATCGTCCAACTGTACGAACGAATTGTCCAACTGTACGAACGAATCGTCCAACTGTACGAACGAATCGTCCAACTGTACGAACGAATTGTCCAACTGTACGAACGAAAATCGTCTAACTGTACAAACGGATTGTCCAACTGTACGAACGAATCGTCCAACTGTACGAACGAATCGTCCAACTGTACGAACGAATCGTCCAACTGTACGAACGAATCGTCCAACTGTACGAAGGAATTGTCCAACTGTACGAACGAATCGTCCAACTGTACGAACGAATCGTCCAACTGTACGAACGAATCGTCCAACTGTACGAACAAAATCGTCCAACTGTACAAACGGATTGTCCAACTGTACGAACGAATCGTCCAACTGTACGAACGAATCGTCCAACTGTACGAACGAATCGTCCAACTGTACGAACGAATCGTCCAACTGTACGAACGAATCGTCCAACTGTACGAACGAATTGTCCAACTGTACGAACGAATTGTCCAACTGTAGGAACGAATTGTCCAACTGTACGAACGAATCGTTCATCCCAATATCCCCTGCCCGTGCCCATCCCATTCCCCCGCCCGCGCCCATCCCATTCCCCCGCTCGCGCCCATCCCATTCCCCCACCCGTGCCAATCCCCATTCCCTTTCCCCCCACCCGCCCATCCCTATCCCCCCTCTCCCCCCATGCTCCTACACAGGTCGCTGAGCGGCAACGAGCTGACGGGCAGCATCCCCGAAGGCATCTCGCACCTCACCGCGCTGCAGCACCTGTGAGTCTCGGCTGTAGCACAGCTGCGGGTCACGGCTAGACGGCTGTAGCACAGCTGCGGGTCACGGCTAGACGGCTGTGCTATAGTCGTCTCTCTTGAGGCATGGGGCTGTGGCTTGCGGCATAGGTATAGGAGCATGGAGCATGGGGCATGGGGCTTGGGGCATGGGGCATGGGGCATGGGGCACGGGGCATGGGGCATGGGGCATGGGAAAGAGACGTTTTGGTTGCCGTGTAGGACGCTCCCCTCTCAACCTCCATGTCACCCGTCCCCTCCTCTCCCCTGCCCCTTGTGTTTCCCATCGGCCCTATCATGAATCGGTCGCGCGTGATGGGCCACGCCACGGGCACGAGCACGGGCAAGCGCAGGGACGTGAGGGGCAATGTGCTGCAGGGGTCGCTGGTGGGGGACATCGGCCGCCTCTCCGCCCTCACCTACCTGTTAGTGCCGCATTGCGCCCTGCGCCCTGCGCCCTGCACCCTGCGCCCTGCGCCCTGCGCCCTGCGCCCTGCGCCCTGCACCCTGCGCCCTGCGCCCTGCGCCCTGCGCCCTGTGCCCTGCAGTCTGCTCACACATGTTGGCTGCACTGCACTGCACTGCACTGCACTGCACTGCACTGCACTGCACTGCACGCACATCCCTGCCGATCCACCTGCCTCCCCCCACCACATCCGAGTGCCCCCCATCACATCCGAGTGCCCCCCATCACATCCGAGTGCCCCCCATCACATCCGTGTGCCCCCCATCACATCCGTGTGCCCCCCATCACATCCGTGTGCCCCCCATCACATCCGTGTGCCCCCCATCACATCCGTGTGCCCCCCACGGCACCACCTCTCATTCTCCCTCCCCTTCATTTCCCGCTCCCGCTCTCGTCCCTCCGCCTCCTCGCCATTCTCACCCCCATCTCCCCTTCCCCTTCCCCAATGCTCCCCCATGCTCCCTTCCCCCTTGCTCCCACTCCCCATGCGGCCACCCCCCATGCGGCCACCCCCATGCGGCCACCCCCCATGCGGCCACCCCCATGCGGGCACCGCCCATGCGGCGACGGGGCATGCGGGCACGGGCCATGGGCACAGGGACCTGTCCAACAACCGCATCAACGGCTCGCTGCCTCACTCGCTCTCCAACCTCACCGCCCTGCGCCACCTGTGCGTGTCTCACTGCGGGCTCTCACTGCATCCCTGCATGCTCTCACTGCATCCCTGCATGCTCTCACTGCATCCCTGCATGCTCTCACTGCATCCCTGCATGCTCTCACTGCATCCCTGCATGCTCTCACTGCATCCCTGCATGCTCTCACTGCATCCCTGCATGCTCTCACTGCATCCCTGCATGCTCTCACTGCATCCCTGCATGCTCTCACTGCATCCCTGCATGCTCTCACTGCATCCCTGCATGCTCTCACTGCATCCCTGCATGCTCTCACTGCATCCCTGCATGCTCTCACTGCATCCCTGCATGCTCTCACTGCATCCCTGCATGCTCTCACTGCATCCCTGCATGCTCTCACTGCATCCCTGCATGCTCTCACTGCATCCCTGCATGCTCTCACTGCATCCCTGCATGCTCTCACTGCATCCCTGCATGCTCTCACTGCATCCCTGCATGCTCTCACTGCATCCCTGCATGCTCTCACTGCATCCCTGCATGCTCTCACTGCATCCGTGCATGCTCTCACTGCATCCCTGCATGCTCTCACTGCATCCCTGCATGCTCCCCACTCGTCTCGTGCATGCCACATGCGTCCATGCCCCACGTGCCTCTACTGCCCCACGTGCCTCTACTGCCCCACGTGCCTCTACTGCCCCACGTGCCTCTACTGCCCCACGTGCCTCTACTGCCCCACGTGCCTCTACTGCCCCACGTGCCTCTACTGCCCCACGTGCCTCTACTGCCCCACGTGCCTCTACTGCCCCACGTGCCTCTACTGCCCCACGTGCCTCTACTGCCCCACGTGCCTCTACTGCCCCACGTGCCTCTACTGCCCCACGTGCCTCTACTGCCCCACGTGCCTCTACTGCCCCACGTGCCTCTACTGTCCCACGTGCCTCTACCGCCCCACGTGCCTCTACTGCCCCATTCCCATAGCACCATTCCCATTGCACCATTCCCATAGCACCAATCCCATAGCACCATTCACCAAGCGCGCCCACGCCATCTCCCAACCCAGTTCCACCTTCCCTCGCCCCCTCTGCCCATCTCCCCTTGTCCCCTCGCCGACCCTCTCTGCTTCTCCCCGTGCCCTCCTCCCAACCCTAACTCCCCTCTCCCCCTCCCCCCATCCCCCTCCCACCATCACCCTCCCCCCGGCAGCGACCTGCATCATAATCCCATCAGCGGCGCGCTGCCCTCCTCCATTGCCGCCCTCTCGCTGCTCACTCGACTGTGAGTCGCGCTAAACTCACCAGGTTACTCACTGAGAAGCTTACCGGTATCACCGCACCACCAACTCTTGCCACACCACCAACTCTTGCCACACCACCAACTCTTGCCACACCACCAACCCATGCCACACCACCAACTCTTGCCACACCACCAACCCATGCCACACCACCAACTTATGCCACACCACCAACTCTTGCCACACCACCAACCCATGCCACACCACCAACTTATGCCACACCACCAACCCATGCCACACCACCAACTCTTGCCACACCACCAACCCATGCCACACCACCAACTTATGCCACACCACCAACCCATGCCACACCACCAACCCATGCCACACCACCAACCCATGCCACACCACCAACCCATGCCACACCACCAACCCATGCCACACCACCAACCCATGCCATACCACCAACCCATGCCTCACCACCAATAATGGCCCTCTCCTCTCCTCTCGCCCCCGACATGTTGTCCGCGCCCGTTGGTCCTCCTCCGTGTGCGCCCTGAGCAGCGATCTACACGATGTTGACTTCACGCCCGCCCCGCTGCCGCCCTCTCTTGGCGCCCTCTCCTCCCTCCACTACCTGTGAGACCCCCTCCCTCCACTACCTGTGAGACCCCCTCCCTCCACTACCTGTGAGACCCCCTCCCTCCTCCTCCCTTGGTCCTCCTCTTGCCCCCTCCTCGTTCTCCCATCCCCCCCTGTCGCTTTCAACGCATGCATGGCAACGCATGCACGGCAACGCATGCACGGCAAGGCATGCACGGCAACGCATGCACGGCCAGGCATGAGGTTAGAAAACCATCCCATCCCATCCCATCCCACCATCCCATCCAATGCCATCCCATCCCATGCCATGCCACGCCAAGCCATGCCACGCCAAGCCATGCTATCCCCCGTGGCGCCGAATGCTGCTCGCTGTATGTCACTCCCATGCGCTCTTCCACTTGCCCCCCTCTCTCACCCATCGGCCTCTTCCTCCCCCCCTCCTCCACGCGGGGCAAGGCAGCGACCTGGCATACACGCACCTCACCGGCCCGCTGCCCGCCTCCATCGCCAACCTCTCCGCCCTCAACTTCCTGTACGCCCCGCCCCGCCCCGCACCGCCCCCTCTTGCCCGCATGTGCCCTGCCACGCCATGCTGTGCCCTGCCACGCCATGCCGTGCCTTTTTGACCTCCTCTCACACCACCAACGCACCACCATGCTCTCCCCTGCAGAATTCCCTCCTCTCTTTTCTCTCTTCATGCCCACCCCTCACCACCGTGCTGTACCGTACCATGCCATGCCATTCCATGCCTTGTACGCCACACCACTCTGCACCTCACCGCACCTCGCCCCGCACAGCTCGGTGGACGGCAACGCCCTCACGGGCTCCATCGACATCTTCCCTCCCAACTCCTCCCTGCAAGCCATGTGAGTCCAAGCCATGTGAGTCCAAGCCATGTGAGTCCAAGCCATGTGAGTCCAAGCCATGTGAGTCCAACGCATGTGAGTCCAAGCCATCTGAGTCCAACGCATGTGAGTCCAACGCATGTGAACCTATCGCAGTTGACCATGTAACTGGCAATGCTGCCGCTTCCCTCACCTCACCTCTGCTTGCTCGTTCCTTCCTAATATCCCTCTCTTCCCCTCTCCTCCCCTTCCTCCGACCCCTCTCCTGTTGCCCTCCCCCTCTTCCCTTTCTCTCACCTGCCCCTCGACTACCCACATCTTGCTGTGCATCCGCGGTCATGCCCGGGCATGTGCCAGTCTAGCGGGGCACAACCAGCTGGAGGGGGCGGTGCCGGACGTGGCGCTGCATCCGCGCCTGCGCCTGCTGTCACTGCACGACAACAACCTCACGGGCCCCGTGCCCGCCGCCGACCTCAACTCCTCCACCACCACCGTCGTGTCAGTCCCCTCCCCTCTCAACCCAACCCGCCCCATCCTCCTCACTTCCCTCTCAACCCAACCCGCCCCATCCTCCTCACTTCCCTCTCAACCCAACCCGCCCCATCCTCCTCACTTCCCTCTCATCCCAACCCGCCCCATCCTCCTCAATTCCCTCTCATCCCAACCCGCCCCATCCTCCTCAATTCCCTCTCATCCCAATCCGCCCCATCCTCCTCAATTCCCTCTCATCCCAATCCGCCCCATCCTCCTCACTTCCCTCTCATCCCAACCCGCCCCATCCTCCTCACTTCCCTCTCATCCCAACCCGCCCCATCCTCCTCACTTCCCTCTCATCCTAACCCGCCCCATCCTCCTCACTTCCCTCTCAACCCAACCCGCCCCATCCTCCTCACTTCCCTCTCAACCCAACCCGCCCCATCCTCCTCACTTCCCTCTCATCCCAACCCGCCCCATCCTCCTCAATTCCCTCTCATCCCAACCCGCCCCATCCTCCTCAATTCCCTCTCATCCCAATCCGCCCCATCCTCCTCACTTCCCTCTCATCCCAACCCGCCCCATCCTCCTCACTTCCCTCTCATCCCAACCCGCCCCATCCTCCTCACTTCCCTCTCATCCTAACCCGCCCCATCCTCCTCACTTCCCTCTCAACCCAACCCGCCCCATCCTCCTCACTTCCCTCTCATCCCAACCCGCCCCATCCTCCTCACTTCCCTCTCATCCCAACCCGCCCCATCCTCCTCACTTCCCTCTCATCCCAACCCGCCCCATCCTCCTCACTTCCCTCTCATCCCAACCCGCCCCATCCTCCTCACTTCCCTCTCATCCCAACCCGCCCCATCCTCCTCACTTCCCTCTCATCCCAACCCGCCCCATCCTCCTCACTTCCCTCTCATCCCAACCCGCCCCATCCTCCTCACTTCCCTCTCATCCCAACCCGCCCCATCATCCTCACTTCCCTCTCATCCCAACCCGCCCCATCCTCCTCACTTCCCTCTCATCCAAGGTAAAAAAAAACGACTGTATTTTTGAAAATTTACCGTAAAAAACGGTACCGTAAAAAACGGTACCGTAAAAAACGGCCGTAAAAAACGGTAAAAAACGGTTCCAAAAGGTGATTTTCGTCTAAAGAAAAAATCGGCCATATTATGGGACCGAATTGATGGGAAAAACCACCAGGATGAAGAGGACGATCCCCTCTTTGCTTGTGTGCATGCGTAAGCATGATCGAAAATGTATTCGACCTTGTTTTTGCCTTTTTTTTCTTGGTGATAAGAGTTCTCTAACAAAAAAACGGCCGTATTTTTGAAAATTTACCGTAAAAAACGGACCGTAAAAAACGGACCGTAAAAAACGGTTACCGTATTTTTGAACCTTGCTCTCATCCCAACCCGCCCCATCCTCCTCACTTCCCTCTCATCCCAACCCGCCCCATCCTCCTCACTTCCCTCTCATCCCAACCCGCCCCATCCTCCTCACTTCCCTCTCATCCCAACCCGCCCCATCCTCCTCACTTCCCTCTCATCCCAACCCAACCCGCCGTCTCTTTCCAATCCACCAGTCAGCGGCCTGGCCGCACATTCATTCTCGTGGCCTCCACTGTGTTGTGTTGTGGTGGAACGCCAAACGTGGCACAACCTCCTCTCCCCGCACCTTGCACCTCCGCTTACCCCTTTTCCCCTTCCTCCCCCTCCGTTCGCCTATTTGCCCTCGGTGTGTCAGCCTGGCGGGCAACCCGCTATGCACGTCATCGCGCTACTACAGCACGTGCAATGTGTGGCAGCAGCGCCGCCTCTGCACGCTGCCGTGCAGCAGCAGCGGCGAGAGCCCGAGCCCGGTGGAGTACGTGCGGTCGCAGGAGTGCGTGTGCGCGCTGCCCGTGGTGGTGCGGCTGTTCCTGCAGAACCCCTCCTACACGCTCTTCAACTCGGAATACGCCGACCGCTTTCAGCGCGATGTCGAAGCACAGCTCAATCTGCAGGAGGGGCAGGTGGGTGGTGACGGCTGGGGAGAAGGTAGGGTGAGCGTGGGTTGGGGGAGGCAGTGAGGATGAGGGGGGTGGGGACAGGTGGGAGCGGCTGGTCCTGCAGAACCCCTCGTACGCTCTTCACCGCTCTTCACCGCCGACCACGCCGACCTCTTCCAGGCGGACGAGCAGGCGCAGGTGCAGGTGCACGAGGGGCCGGTGCGTGACGGCTGGGGGACGGCACCTTGGCGTGGGTGCAGGTGGGGCCGAGGTGGGTTCAGGTGGGGGCAGGTCGGTGGAGTGGGGTGAGGGATGGGAGCATGTGGGTGGGGGTTGAGAGTAGGTAGGTGGGTAGAGGGCAACTGGTACGGGAGGGAAGGAGGGCGTGTGTTGTGTTGGTCCACGTGCAAGCGGGCATTCGTGGTGCCCGACGCCCGTGTGTACTCCATGTGCCACACAACACAACACAAGGCTCACTCTGCCCCTCCCATCTCCTTCACATGCCGCCCACTCACGCATGCCGCCCACTCACTCATGCCGCCCACCCACGCATGCCGCCCACTCACTCATGCCGCCCACTCAATCATGCCGCCCACGCATGTGTATGGGCAGGCGTGGTTGGACAGTGTGAGTCAGCGCGAGGACAACCTGGAGGTCGCCACACTGCGCATCTACTCTGCCAAGGTGATCTACCCTGCCAAGGTGATCTACCCTGCCAAGGTGATCTACCCTGCCAAGGTGATCTACTCTGCCAAGGTGATCTACCCTGCCAAGGTGATCTACCCTGCCAAGGTGATCTACCCTGCCAAGGTGATCTACCCTGCCAAGGTGATCTACCCTGCCAAGGTGATCTACCCTGCCAAGGTGATCTACCCTGCCAAGGTGATCTACCCTGCCAAGGTGATCTACCCTGCCAAGGTGATCTACCCTGCCAAGGTGATCTACCCTGCCAAGGTGATCTACCCTGCCAAGGTGATCTACCCTGCCAAGGTGATCTACCCTGCCAAGGTGATCTACCCTGCCAAGGTGATCTACCCTGCCAAGGTGATCTACCCTGCCAAGGTGATCTGCCCCCCACCCTCTCTGCCCCCCACCCTCTCTGCTCGCCAGCTTCCACCCTCCACACGCCATCCTTGCCCCTCCACACGCCATCCTTGCCCCTCCACACGCCATCCTTGCCCCTCCACACGCCATCCTTGCCCCTCCACACGCCATCCTTGCCCCTCCACACGCCATCCTTGCCCCTCCACACGCCATCCTTGCCCCTCCACACGCCATCCTTGCCCCTCCACACGCCATCCTTGCCCCTCCACACGCCATCCTTGCCCCTCCACACGCCATCCTTGCCCCTCCACACGCCATCCTTGCCCCTCCACACGCCATCCTTGCCCCTCCACACGCCATCCTTGCCCCTCCACACGCCATCCTTGCCCCTCCACACGCCATCCTTGCCCCTCCACACGCCATCCTTGCCCCTCCACACGCCATCCTTGCCCCTCCACACGCCATCCTTGCCCCTCCACACGCCATCCTTGCCCCTCCACACGCCATCCTTGCCCCTCCACACGCCATCCTTGCCCCTCCACACGCCATCCTTGCCCCTCCACACGCCATCCTTGCCCCTCCACACGCCATCCTTGCCCCTCCACACGCCATCCTTGCCCCTCCACACGCCACCCTTGCCACTCCACTCCACCCTGTATCGCGCCTCGCCTCTCCTCTCCAAGTCCTTTCCAATCATCACATCCCTTCCCACTTTTTGCATCCGCTCCCAATCATCGCATCCCTCTTAAGCTACTCTCCTTGTCCCTCCTCTCCTCTCGACCCCTTCCCTCTCTCCCTTCCGCTCCCACCTCCCCTCCCCCCCTTGGCCAGGTGGAGGTGCCATGGACGGAGGAGCAGAGGGGGCAGCTGTATGCGGCGTTGGGGCGCCTCACGCGCCTTAGTGCCATCTTTGGAGGCGTCACGTTCGGTGAGGGCCCTCCTTGCTCAAGTAACAGGGCCGCGTTTGCCGCACCACCCACTGTCATGTCCTCTCATCAGTGCCCCACCTCGCCCCACCTCGCCCCACCTCGCCCCACCTCGCCCCACCTCGCCCCTGCTGGCCCGTGGTGGCCCGTGGTGGCCCGTGGGATGAGAGGTGCTGTACAGTTGTCCCACTCTGCTTGCCCTCTGGATTGGTGCTCTCTTTTCTTTCAGGGCAACCAAAAATGTTTCTGGCAGACCATGGACGTAAAGTCGTTCTAGGCCCACAAAAGTAAACATATGTTAACCACGTAAAGTCATGTAAACGTAAACCTTTATAAACGGAACTGCCAACTTAGCACACACGGTCACTCGTTCCTGCCACTGCCTCTGTTGTCACCCTTGCCCTTCCCTTCCCTTCCCTTCTCTTCCCTTCCCTTCCCTTCCCTTCCCTTCTCTTCCCTTCCCTTCCCTTCTCTTCCCTTCCCTTCCCTTCTCTTCCCTTCTCTTCCCTTCTCTTCCCTTCTCTTCCCTTCCCTTCCCTTCCCTTCTCTTCCCTTCCCTTCCCTTCCCTTCCCTTCCCTTCCCTTTCCTATCTGTCTCACGGTGCCGCCATCCCGCCCTCCCCACAGATGGCCCGCCACCCCCACCAGTGCCCAGCCCGCCACCGCCCCCGCCCACGCTCGCAGTCACCACTGAAAGCAGTACGCCCCCCCTCGCTGCCTCCCCTGCCACTGCCTCTCCTCATGCCTTGTGCTTCCTTCCCACTCTTCCCTCATCCCAATATTCACCCCTTGCATTCTTTACTCATCTAATTCTGCAATCTTCTCTCCCTCCTCTGTCTCTTCCCCGTCCGCCCTCCTCCCTGTGCGCGCCTGGGTCAACGTGCCCCGTGCGTGCCGGTGCGTGCGTGCAGAGAGCACATTCCCGGTGTGGGCCATAGTGGTCACGGCCGTGGGGCTGCTGTGCTTCGCCGCCTCGCTGCTGCTGCTGCTCTGGCTGCGCCACCAACGCAGACGCCAGATGCTCCGTGAGTGCCGCCCGCATTCTCAGTGAGTGCCGCCCGCATGCTCAGTGAGTGCCGCCCGCATGCTCAGTGAGTGCCGCCCGCATGCTCAGTGAGTGCCGCCCGCATGCTCAGTGAGTGCCGCCCGCATGCTCAGTGAGTGCCGCCCGCATGCTGACAGTTGGAAGGACCAGACGGGCCAGCATGAGAGGTGTGGGGCCAAGGGGCAGAAGTGTGAGAGGCAGGGGCGAGGAGAGGATAGGAGGAGTGGCTTGGAGGAGCAGCACGTGAGCAGCGTGCGGTGAGCCACAGGGACGACCTTCGAGTCTGTCTCTTCTCACCTGCTCTGCACGAGCGACTGCCACACCTTGCCCTCTTCCCTGCTCTGCTTCCATCAGCAATGCAAAGAGTGCGCATGTGAATACCCCCAACGTCACCTGCCCTCCCCCCCCAGGGCCCAGCAAGTCGAAGCTGACAATGCGCCTGCAGGAGCAGTTTGTGCGCCCCATCGCGCTGGCGGAGATCGAGGCGGCCACGGACGGCTTCTCGGAGGCGCGGCTGCTGGGCGTGGGCGGGTACGGGTCCGTGTACCGCGGGGACGGGCTCAACGGCGAGCAGTGGGCCGTCAAGCGTGCCACAGTCACCACCGTGCAGTCCATGGGCGTCTTTCAGAACGAGGTGAGTCCATGGGCGTCTTTCAGAACGAGGTGAGTCCATGGGCGTCTTTCAGAACGAGGTGAGTCCATGGGCGTCTTTCAGAACGAGGTGAGTCCATGGGCGTCTTTCAGAACGAGGTGAGTCCATGGGCATCTTTCAGAACGAGGTGAGTCCATGGGCGTCTCTCAGAACGAGGTGCACGGGGGATGAGGGGATGAGGCGTGCAAAGGGATTGCAAGGTAGCGTTGATGGAACTGCCCCTCTCGCCCCCCGATCCGTCCTGTTTTCCATCCTCCTCCATTGCATTGCATGTGCACCCCTCCTAATCGGCGGCCTTGTGTCGTTTTCTTCCACTCGCCTGCTGCCTTTTGTCAACTTCCACCCGCCTCCCTTCCCCCGCCCTCCACCCCCCCTGTCCTTCTCCTCTATATCCTGCTCTCCCTCTCCCCTGCTCCGTTCTGCGCCCCATGTCCCACGAGCCACACATCACCACCGTGATGCCAGCGGTTAATGTCAGCTCGTGGAATAGGCTACACCTTGCTGGTCTTTGGTTATTCAGGTTACAACTTTCAGTTAGTTTAGTTTTAGGTTGGGTTGGGTGTAGACTTTTTTATCCCCAACCTATCCAACCCTATCCATCCAACCCTATCAATTCAGGATCTTCATGATTTGGATGGACTCCTCAAATCGCCTCCTGCTGTCACGTCATCCACCCAACCCAACCCGTCCTAGCGAGCGATAGTAAAGCCATGTACCTCTCTTTCGAATCAATGCGGCCACTTTGCCGTGCCCAGCATGCGCTGCCGCCCTGCCCGCCACGTGCACGTGATACCATCACAAGCCCCACGCACTCACCGCACTGCCTTACGAGCCTCGAACCACCTGCGCTCTCCCTCCCCTCCCACGCCGCCCTCCACACACCCTGTCCACCAGGTGCGCCACCGCAGCCTGATGCCGCAGGGTTGACACGCGTCAACCACCCAATCCGACCGCCCCATCATTGCCCAATCCCGACCACCCCATCATTGCCCATCTCCCCCCCCCCCCCCCCCCCATCATTACCCATCTCACCCCCCCCCATCATTACCCATCTCACCCCCCCCCATCATTACCCATCTCACCCCTGGCCATCATTGCCCATCTCACCCCTGGCCATTGTGATCCATCGTCCCCCCCCCGGGCACCAGGTGGACGTGATATCGGCCATGAGCCACCGCAACCTGATAGCGCTGCTGGGGTACTGCGAGGACAAGGGCGAGCAGATCCTTGTCTACGAGTTCGCCGCTAACGGCACCCTCTCCGCCCACCTGCGCCCGCCCGCCGGTGAGCGCCAGTCGATGGGTGCGTGGGAGGCCGCTGCCACGCACATGTGTGTGTGGCTGCATGGCTGGGTGGGTGGGTCCATGGGTGGGTGGGTGGGTGCATGGGTGCATGGGTGCATGGGTGCATGGGTGGGTGGGTGGGTGCATGGGTGGGTGGGTGGGTGCATGGGTGGGTGCATGGGTGCATGGGTGGGTGGGTGGGTGCATGGGTGCATGGGTGGGTGCATGGGTGCATGGGTGGGTGCATGGGTGGGTGGGTGGGTGCATGGGTGGGTGCATGGGTGGGTGGGTGGGTGCATGGGTGGGTGGGTGGGTGCATGGGTGGGTGGGTGGGTGCATGGGTGGGTGGGTGGGTGCATGGGTGGGTGGGTGTGGGTGCATGGGTGGGTGGGTGGGTGCATGGGTGGGTGGGTGGGTGCATGGGTGGGTGGGTGCGTGGGTGGTTGGGTGGGTGCGTGTGGGTGACATTGAGCACGAGTGGCAGTGTGCGCAGACTGCCTCTGCACCAGTCGTGGCAGCTATCACTGTGCAGTGCTGTGGGGCTTTGTGCCGCTACTCTTTTCTCGCCCTATATTTCTCCTCTCCTCTTTAACCACCCTTCACCCCCTTACGTGCCTCCCTTAACTTCCTCTGCTTCCTTTCCTTTCCTCCCCGTCCTTTCTGTATCGTCCCCACCCACCCCTCCCCCCACCCACCCCTGTGAGCAGACAAGCCGACGGCGCCGCTGACGCTGCAGCAGCGGGTGGAGGTGGCGCTGGGGGCGGCGCAGGGGCTGTTCTACCTGCACTCGTTCGCGCGCCCGCCCGTCATCCACCGCGACGTCAAGTCCGGCAACATCCTGCTCGACCAAGACATGCAGGTGGGTATGGCCGGGGTACACTTGCAGGTGGGTGTGGCCGGGGTACACTTGCAGGTGGGTGTGGCCGGGGTACACATGCAGGTGGGTGTGGCCGGGGTACACTTGCAGGTGGGTGTGGCCGGGGTACACTTGCAGGTGGGTGTGGCCGGGGTACACTTGCAGGTGGGTGTGGCCGGGGTACACTTGCAGGTGGGTGTGGCCGGGGTACACTTGCAGGTGGGTGTGGCCGGGGTACACTTGCAGGTGGGTGTGGCCGGGGTACACTTGCAGGTGGGTGTGGCCGGGGTACACTTGCAGGTGGGTGTGGCCGGGGTACACTTGCAGGTGGGTGTGGCCGGGGTACACTTGCAGGTTGGAGACGGTATTGCGGGTCGGAGGAACATGTGCGAGGGGGAAGGGGAATGCGGGTGGGGATAAAAGTGGAGGGAGAGGGGGACATATGGGAGGGGATATGCAGGCGGGGGTGTGCATGTGCGCTCATGCTCCTCTGTCGCTGCCTTGAACGTCCGAGGTTGTTTCCCACACCACTGTCGCTGTGTGGCCCTTGTCCCCCTCCGCCCGTCCCCGCGACTGCCCCGCTGTGTGTTTCCCTCCTCTCCTCCTCTCCCTGCGCGTGTGTGCACAGGCGAAGGTGGCGGATTTTGGGCTGCTGAAGGCGTCCAAGGGCGAGGGCGTGGCGCACAGCACGCAGGTGGCGGGCACGCCGGGGTACCTGGACCCCGAGTACTACTCCGCCTTCAAGGTCACCGCCAAGAGCGACGTGTACAGGTGCCAGCACGCTCTTCCATCTTCATGTCATGCCCGCTCTGCTCCCTGCCCCGCATGCTATGCCTTTTGCTCACGCACTCCCCTATGGACCCCCCACCCCCCCTCCGCTCACACGCAGCTTCGGCGTGGTGCTGCTGGAGATCCTGACGGGGCTGCCGCCCATCTTTGAGAGCCTCGACGCCAATGAGTCCACCGACGGCGAGCGCCAGATGACCAGCCTGGCCAGATGGGTGAGAGGCGCAATGGGTGAGAGGCGCAATGGGTGAGAGGCGCAATGGGTGAGAGGCGCAATGGGTGAGAGGCGCAATGGGTGAGAGGCGCAATGGGTGAGAGGCGCAATGGGTGAGAGGCGCAATGGGTGAGAGGCGCAATGGGTGAGAGGCGCAATGGGTGAGAGGCGCAATGGGTGAGAGGCGCAATGGGTGAGAGGCGCAATGGGTGAGAGGCGCAATGGGTGAGAGGCGCAATGGGTGAGAGGCGCAATGGGTGAGAGGCGCAATGGGTGAGAGGCGCAATGGGTGAGAGGCGCAATGGGTGAGAGGCGCAATGGGTGAGAGGCGCAATGGGTGAGAGGCGCAACGCAATGGGTGAGAGGCGCAATGGGTGAGAGGCGCAATGGGTGAGAGGCGCAATGGGTGAGAGGCGCAATGGGTGAGAGGCGCAATGGGTGAGAGGCGCAATGGGTGAGAGGCGCAATGGGTGAGAGGCGCAATGGGTGAGAGGCGCAATGGGTGAGAGGCGCAATGGGTGAGAGGCGCAATGGGTGAGAGGCGCAATGGGTGAGAGGCGCAATGGGTGAGAGGCGCAATGGGTGAGAGGCGCAATGGGTGAGAGGCGCAATGGGTGAGAGGCGCAATGGGTGAGAGGCGCAATGGGTGAGAGGCGCAATGGGTGAGAGGCGCAATGGGTGAGAGGCGCAATGGGTGAGAGGCGCAATGGGTGAGAGGCGCAATGGGTGAGAGGCGCAATGGGTGAGAGGCGCAATGGGTGAGAGGCGCAATGGGTGAGAGGCGCAATGGGTGAGAGGCGCAATGGGTGAGAGGCGCAATGGGTGAGAGGCGCAATGGGTGAGAGGCGCAATGGGTGAGAGGCGCAATGGGTGAGAGGCGCAATGGGTGAGAGGCGCAATGGGTGAGAGGCGCAATGGGTGAGAGGCGCAATGGGTGAGAGGCGCAATGGGTGAGAGGCGCAATGGGTGAGAGGCGCAATGGGTGAGAGGCGCAATGGGTGAGAGGCGCAATGGGTGAGAGGCGCAATGGGTGAGAGGCGCAATGGGTGATAGGCGCAATGGGTGAGAGGCGCAATGGGTGAGAGGCCTATTGGTGGGATGGGCACAAGAAGGAGTCAGTCCTCCCCCCCCTGCTCTCAGCTCAGTCCCCCCCTCCCCCTGCTCTCACCTTGTCTCACTGCTCCTCCCTCCTCCATCAGCTACACTCAGTGTTTCTTTCCTCCCTCACTTCTCACTCCCCAAGTATGCTCCACTACAGCCGCCTCACACCCCCCTTTCTCACTTTCCCTTCCCCCTGGCCACACCTCTCCTGCTTCGCCCCTCTCCGCAGTGTGCACCGTACGTGCAGACGGGCAATGTGGCCAAGATAGTGGACCCGCGGCTGGGTGCGGACTGCCCGGTGGACACCGTCAAGGCCATGGCGGAGGTGGCCATGGCGTGCGTGCAGCGCCACAGCAAGAACCGCCCCGACACGGGCGAGGTGGTGCGGCGTCTGGGGGACATCCTTGCGCGCCTCACGGGCGACGAGAGCGCCGCCACGCTGGGCCACCTGCGGTCGCAGAGCTCGAATGTGGGCGCCGTTGCCATTCCCGAGGACGGCGAGATTGATCCCAACATTGCGCTGGTGGGCAACATGGAGGGGCCGTACGATGAGAGCACTGCTGCCATGTCACAGATCATCCCGCGCTGAGTGGTTGCCGTGTCCATGCGTGAACATGAAACCAGAGCAGCATGGGTACTAATGGACGTCTCGGTATGGGCACGTGTTTACAGCAGAAATAAAGTATAGGGTCCTTTTATAAGACACAATTTGTATTAAGATTTATTGAATGGATGCACTATCAGGCCCCGAATATAAGCGGGTGCGCTTATGACAACATCCTGAATAGGTGGGTGTTTGTGCTTATAACATGATGGCCGCCCATGTGCTGTGAAGAGCTGTCCTCTACGAGGACATTCCTCGTAGAGGAGCGGCTCGGGGTCCTCTGGAGGGAGAGCTCTGGCAGGGGGGTTAGTCCGGCTGGAACTTCATTTTGTGCTCATGGAGCTTGAGATTAGCTCAACCCTAGCTCGAGGCTGGCTCTACCATGCGTAGGAAAATCCCTGTAAAAATGTTGTGCCCTCGTCCTAACGTCCAGGTTAACAACTATGGGCGCATCAGCTCGCCCGGTGACGACATACAGATAGCGATGGCGAAAATGACGCACAAGCCGACATCCTTGGCGGGATGCTGTAACGCCAGCTCAGGTGCGAGCAGTGACGAGGAGGAAGGCGACGAGGACCACGGCGACGAGGGCAACGAGGATTGGCCGGAGAACAGGCACAGTGACAGAGCATCTAAAATTAACGTACATGCTGGCGGGATCGAGGATGACGAGGGGCGGACGCGGCCAATCGGCTAGGGCGATGAAGTGGAAGAGTGGCGCGCCAGGTACTCTGATGACGACGGAGGTGCGGATGCGGCGGAATCTGCGGATGCTGATGCGCCTGGAACTGCGCATGCTGCAGATGAGGAAGCGGTGGCGACAGTGCAAGCCCCCGCGGCCACGAGTGAGGATGTGGATGCGGGAGCGACCGTGGATGCGGCAGCGGATGCGGATGCGGCAGTGGTTGCGGATGCGATTGCGGTAGCGATGCGGATGCGGATGCAGATGCTGCTGATGCTGGCGCGGATGCTGACTTCTTTGAAGGAGAAGACGAGGACGACGACTTCTATCGCCTCGATGACGACGATGTGCCTTTGTTGAAGAGGAAGCTGCGTCTTCATCTGCGCGGCACCACTAAACGCACAAGGGTGGTGCTCTCAGACGACGACATCCCTGTGGAGGAGCCTCAACACCGCCTCAGTGCTGCTGAGAAGGGGAAGATGAAGATTGTTGAAGGCCCATCCAATGAATACCGTCGCCGTCGCACGTGGAAGGCGAAGAAAAAGAACGATGGATCATCGGTTTCCAGCAAGGGTGCGAAGAAGAAGAAGACCGCCCAGGGCACGGATTACATCGTCGTCAACGAGATGCACGTGAGCAACGATGAGTATGCCACGGCTGCACGACCACTTCCCTCTTTCCCTGAGAACGCGAAGCCTAAAGACCTCACACTTCGTAACGCTGATTCCCGTCCTCCATCCCCACGCAGTCGCGGTGAGAAACGGACTAGGCGCTCTTGGAGCGTGCGTGAGAAGATGAGGTGGGCGCGACGCTACAAGGAGCCCAGCTCCCTCAAGAAGACATTATTTGAATCCTCTGCCTCCGTTGCGTGCATTCGACGATGGGCTGCGCAGACGGATTCGGGTGCGTAGAAGGGTGCGACGAATTGCTGCAAGCGTCTAAACGGCACGGGCCACCACTCACACCACCCCGACATGGAGGCGGCATTGTACCGGTACATCTGTCTATAGCGATCAAAGGGGGTGGCGATATCCGTGAAGGACACGTAGAAGTGGAGCCGCAAATGGATGAAGAGACACCATCCCGACAAGAACTGGAAGGCGTCATCTCGCTGGAGTCAACGCTTCCGCGACCGCTGGAACTTGGTCATGCGTATGAAGACCAAGGATTGTGAGTTGTATGTAAAATTCACCTTGGATCGTGGACTGAAAATGCCTAGCATTGAAAATACCTCATGTTCTAACATTCCCTCTTCAAATGCGGTTCCTTTCCATGGCAGAATGAGCTAAGGACTGTGAGGCAGTCTGGAACTTCATCAGGATCAACCGTGCCCAACATAACATCGACCTCACCCCATCATCAACGCGGACCAAACACCTCTCTTCATCGAAATGCCGGCCGAGAGGACCCTTGACCACTAGCGCGAGCTCTGTCCCAATCCGCACCCCTGGCTACGAGAAGACGCGGCTCACCGAAATGCTCACGTGCACGGCATCCGGGGAGAAGCTGCGCCCGTGGGTTTGGTTCAAAATGAAGAACGTGTCGACGTGTGAAGTTCTCAAAGGTAAGCGGCAACACCTTGGGTTTGACAGATTAGTTCTTGAGTGATGTTCCGCAGCTTGTTGGCTCTGATGCTTTCATCTCCCTCTATGCCTGGCAAGAGTCGTGGTCCACGTACAGGATAACGGGTGGATGGACGAGGATGCAATGAAGACATGGCTGACCAAGGAGGTGCTGCCCCATCTCAACCCCAAGCGCGGCCATAACATGAGGCGTGCTATGCTGGTGTTGGATACCTACCGAGGCCACATCACCCATATCATGCTTCAAGCCTATCGCAGCTGGAGCTAGCGACGGACGACGCCAGATTCGACCTCCACAAGACAGCTCCGGTCGGAAGGCTTAAACAGTAACCTTGAGTAGATCTATACGTGTGGCCACAGTTTGCGTAGGACGAGTCTGAGAAACCTGTGAGTGTAACTGACTGCTTCCCTCCAAGGATAAGTCCCATGCTAGATGTGCTCGCCACATACTTCAACACCCTCTTAGCAGCCGACAAGTGAGAAGATCGGTGTCTCCCAGGCTCAACAAAGTGTGTTAGGACGCTAAGAGGGAAAGCTAGGTCTGGGCGAGTACAGCTCATCAGGTACATAAGACAACCCACCAACTCAGGATATGGATCACTGGACTCAAATAGCTCGTCCGAATGTGGAGCCGTGATCACATGATCCACACTAGAAGGGGTGAGCTATACTTTGGAGAACGAGAAGCAAAACCGCGTGAGAATCTGCTCAACTAGATGTGACAGCGTTAGCGTAATGGTGCGAGCTGCCCTGTCCCTGGTGATCTGCAGGCCGAGGTAGCGCTGTAGCTCACCAAGGTCAGTGCAAGTTTGTCTCCTCTACAGTTCCTCCTTCATCGAGGTCAGTGCTGTGCAGTCGGTGTCAAGATAGTGAGTGTAGTAGGAGCTAGGTTTAGGTAGGGCCTAGGCTTAGTAGCCTAGGCCAAGGGGAGTCGAGATAGTTGTGGCAAGGAGAAGTCGAGAATGGGAATGATGCAATATGAGAAACAAGTACAAGTTATAGTTCAGGAAGGGTGCACCACTAAGCAAGAACAAATGTATGACTACACTACAGCTAGAACTATATGCAGTTATATATAATTCTGACATTCCCCCGTAACTGCATGCAGGAATAGCTAAGTGAAAGACACAACCTGTACGGGTACACCACAGACAAAGAAAACAGCAACATCAGACAAGGCAGCAGAACAGGTTCGGCAGCAAAGGGGCAGGCGACAGCAAGGCACTTCTGCCACCCCCTTACTCTCCTCCCCCCCCGACCACAGGAGGGGCGGCAGGGAGAGAGAGGAGGCGGACTGGCGCTGGCTGGTCACCCCCTCCATCCCCTCACCCTCCCCCTCCCCCTCCCCCCCACACTGCTGCAGGAGCAGCAGAGGGGGGAAGAGAGGAGAGGTGGAGGGACGGCTGCTGGTTGGTCTCACACCCGCCACCCCAGTGCCACTCCCCCGGCTCCCCCACACCCTCACACCCTCCCCCCCAGCGGCAGCTGCAGCAGTGGGGACGAAAGGAGGAGGAGGGGAAGGGAAGCACACCACCCATCACCCCCACACCCGCCACCCCCATACCCTCCCCCCCACGGCTGTAGGGAGACGAAGGAGGAGGGGGGGGTCGGGGAGAAAGCCGCAGAGCGGCTACAGAGGGTCGGCGCAGGTAGGGCAGGGGCGACTGCAGCGAGTGCAGGCGCGGGGTGAGGCAGAGGCGGCTGCACCGAGTGCAGGAGCGGGGGCGGCTGCTCCAAGGGTCGGCGCTGGGTGGTGCAGGGGCGGCTGCACCGAGTGCAGGCGCGGGTGAGGCAGGGGCACCGTTGCGGGCGCCAAGGGCGGGTCCGCGGCGGCTCAGGGCACCGTCGCGGGCGCCAGGGGCGGGTCCGCGGCGGCGCAGGGCACCGTCGCGGGCGCCAGGGGCGGGTCCGCGGCGGCTCAGGGCACCGTCGCGGGCGCCAGGGGCGGGTCCGCGGCGGCTCAGGGCACCGTCGCGGGCGCCAGGGGCGGGTCCGCGGCGGCTCAGGGCACCGTCGCGCACCACGGGGCACGCGACGGGCAGTTCAGGGCACCGTCGCGTGCCACGGGGCGCACGACAGGCAGGGCACCATCGCGTGCCACGGGGCGCACAACGAGCAGGGCACCGTCGCATGCCACGGGGCACGCGACGGGCAGAAAAGATGTCACGCGCCACCCGGGCGTGGGACAGGACGAAAATCGCCACGCGCCCGAGGCGCGCGACCGGAAGAACAGTAGCGGAAGCGTGAGGCGGGCCCGCAGGCCTGGACTTAACTGGCTCTGATTCCATGTCAAGATAGTGAGTGTAGTAGGAGCTACGTTTAGGTAGGGCCTAGGCTTAGTAGCCTAGGCCAAGGGGAGTCGAGATAGTTTTGGCAAGGAGAAGTCGAGAATGGGAATGATGCAATATGAGAAACAAGTACAAGTTATAGTTCAGGAATGGTGCACCAGCAAGCAAGAACAAATGTATGACTACACTACAGCTAGAACTATATGCAGTTATATATAATTCTGACAGTCGGGAGTGGCAAAGACCAGGTCGTCAACGTAAACCGGTCCGTAGACCGTAGAGTGTAGACCGGCCGACGCAGCTGACACTGGGTCCCAGGAGGGAAAGAGCCAGTGAAGCCAGACGGACGACGTAGCCAGATCTGCTCGTGCAGACTCCTCTAAAGAAACACTGTGGAGAAGTCCAAGGATTGCGACTCGTGGTCGCGCTGAGCTGCAACGTGTAGCAACACCCGAAGAGTGGTCATCTTCGAGGTGGGAGCCCCGTCTCGCTAACTGAAGCAACTCGCCACGTAGCGCGCCTTGAACACCGGTGGTGATCCAGGCGGTTGCTTCACCTTATAGGGCCACATGCCACTAACAACGTTCGCCCCAGTTGGTGGGGCTTCGTCGATGTAGGCGCATGTGGACCTATATGACGCCATCTCTGCCTCATCAGGTGCTATCCAATATGGGGCGTAAATCCCGCGAACGCCTCCGCGTAAGTGCAAAGGGTGGGGATGTCAAGGGCGTCTAGATCCCCCTTAGGGGTAAGCAGCATGGCGCACTGATAGGGAACAGCAACCGAAAGGAAACCAAGCTCGAACTGCCTGTCCTCTGGGACCTCTAGGGGAAAGATGGGAACACCCTAGTGGATGGAGAACAAGCACGACCACTCACCAAGTGAGAGGCTTAGTCAAGGCGGTAGGACGAGGCAAAGTCAACGATAGTAGTAACAAGAGCCGAGACAGACAGCGGGGGGGCAGTGGGGTGAGTGACCAACGCGGACAAAAAACGGGGGACAACAGGACGAGAAGCACAGAGGTAGTCAGAGAATGGGTCTGGAGACCTAGTAAGGGGCGACTCAGGAGGCTGTGGAAGGACCGAAGGAAGTGGAACACGAGAGCAGAGAACAAGGTGAAACGGGTCATCGGCTCGGTAACGGGACGGACTAAGCTCTGGGAACACAACTCGACTAAGAAGAGAATGACGAGACCACAAGGAAAGGGAATGGTCAGGGATGGTAGGGGACCATGAACTAGCATGCAGGTTCTAGGTCAGGCAGGTCGCGCAATTGTTGCTGCTCTGCCTTCTGTGGCATCTGCTGCGGCTGCACTTGCCCCTTCTGCTGCTCTTGTGGCTTTGGGTGTGGCTCCTCCTCTGCCCTCTCCTGCTGCGGCTGCAACTGCACCTGCTGCTACAGTCGTGGCTCCTCCTCTACTCTCTCCTGCTGCAGCTGCAAGTGCACCTGCTTCTGCATTCGTGGCTCCTCCTCTACTCTCTCCTGTTGCAGCTGCAAGTGCACTTGCTGCTGCAGTCGTGGTTCCCCCTCTACTCTCTCCTGCTGCAACTGCAACTGCTCCTACTGCTGGCGCTGCTGCCGTGCTCTCTCAAACCGCTCCCGCTCCTCCCTCTCCAACCAGAGAAGACACTGCTCACGGGTCAGGAAATGTACAGGGCGCGGCGTAGGCACCGCAATGCCAGTGCCTTTAGCTCCAGCACCCTCAAACCGCTCCAGCTCCGCAATGTCGACCACCGACACCCCCGGTGCCTCCAGTATCTCCTGCAGGAACGCCCCTAGGCTCCGTGGCAACCGGCTGCAGAGACGAACGAGGAGGGAACTGCGGGACGGACGGGAACTCCTGGGGCTGCTGCTGCTGGGGCTACTGCTGCTGGGCCGCTCCGCTACCTCCTCCTCCACCGCCTCCACCTCCACCTCCACCACCACTCCCACCCCTTCCGCCACCTCCACCACTGCTCTCTCCGCCACCTCCACCACCACTCCCTCCACCACCTCCACCGCTGCCCCCTCTGTCACCCCCACCACAGCCACCACCTCCTC